ACATTTAATAGCCAGCAATTAATTATATTTATGCAAGAAATTTTGCCTTCTCAGCAAAAGGAATAGAGAACCTATTTTATTAGGGATGTGACAAACCCACATTTTCAATAGTTCTGTGACAAACATGTAATTGGTCTTGATATTTGCTGACCACAGAATAAAATAAATCTTGTTGAAAGAAAGCAATCTGGGCAGCAAAATACAGTTTTGCTGCTATGAGAGAACCACTGGGAAAGACCAGCAGGAGTGAGTTTGAAGAAATGTAAAGATTGACTGGGAAAGGAGATGCAGTCAGTATGTTCTGGGGCTGCATAAAGATGCCCCCAGAGTACACTTCACATCACAGCTAGACACCAATGATCCCAATTTTCATTTATTTTCCTCCAGAAATATCATTAAAAGAAAAATAACATCACTTACGTGAGAAGATGTGATCTGTACTATCAGTGCACTGTAAAAGTATTCTTTCAAACATCTGAACAACTGCCAAAGAGCTACAGGATTTCAAAAATACAATGTATGTCTATTTCGGATTTTATTGTTAAAGCTTAACAAAACACAGTAAATGTATCCCAGCAGGTCTGTACTTAGCATGACTGGTGTGTTCCTCCATCAGTTAAATGCGTTCTGAAGCCTTTTAACAAGTAACTAGAAGACTTATGTGATAGTATGTCAATTTGAACTCTTCAGAGCCTTTGCAGAATGCACTGCTTTGTTTCAGAAGGCTTTATCTGTACAGCAGATCATTCCCCAGGCAAGGCCCAAAGGTTAAAACTGCTAATATAAAGGAGAGAGAGAAAACTCCTAATAAAGTCTAATTTTGAACTTCTTGCTTCAGCTGAGTAACATGATCCCGCCTAACAGGAGTCATCTGTGACTGTTTGGGACTTTCAGGGAAGTAACTGTAAGTTAGAAGAGATTTAAAAGCTTTGCTCACTACTCAATACTTAAAATTGCAAGTTGTCTTTGTGGTACTAAGCGTGTTTACCATACTTGCATTATTAATCTTACTACTTCCAATCTCCTGTTAGCAAGTTCTCCAGTGAAAGTTCAAGCTAGTACAAAGGAAGGAAACAGCTAATTAACCCTAACCCTTAGAGCATCTACAAGGACTACGTGGTGATCAGATCAAGCAAAACACTTCAAATATTAGTGGAGCAGTAAATTTTGACCACATGACATAAGTCATGAGACTTGTTTGGTTTCTTGTGATCCCAAACAAGCCTAACCATTCCTTTAGACCACAGCACACAACCTCTCTCATGTACAAGCTGCACCTACGACCTTATATATACATATATAAACGTACCCAACCCATGTCAAAGACATAACCAAGCAGCTGTTGACACCATATTGAAGCAACATCTTTCAAGCAAACATTTTGCCACCTAGCTCCAAATGAAGAATTACAGTACAGTTACACAACGTCAGCATTAACACTGAATTGGAGATCAGATGCCAAGTTTTCACGGGAAAAGATCCTCCAGGGTAGGCTGACAATCACGTAACAAATCATAAACACACTAAATCCTCTCATCAACTGTACCTTAATGGTTTTGGGGGGAAGGAGAGAGAACCTGTTTAGAATGGCACATCCACATTCTCTGAGAGCGAGCTCTCATCACCCACCTTGTCTCAATGAGATAAGCAGTGTATGTTTCTTGCATGTTCATGGCATTCCTCCCAGTCCGTTTTTCGGCTTCTGAAACAGTGATCTCCATTTTTTTTGCCAAAGAGTCTTCCATCTTTTTAGAGGAGGAAAATAAAGATTCATGTAACATTAGCTACACAAGGCAAAGGCTACTAACCCTGCCTCCCCCTCTCTCGCACCACATTTGTTCAAATAAGACAGGTCTCTATAGGATAAAGGCTTTGGCAGGGCTTGCTTTTATACCCACCTTCTGTATCACATCTGCAAGTGAAAACAGAAAACCTGCAGGGGAGGCGGGGGGTAAGTCAACAAATAGACGACTTCCGACACCAAAAGCCATCATGAGCCAGGAAGATACAAAAAGGATAAATATTTCTCCTTACAGGTAACAAAGTAACCTTTTTTTGAAAACAAACAAACAAACCAACCCCAGGACTTTCTACCCAAACACTTCCCCAACTACCGGAGAATTCCTCATCGGGACACACGGAACCACCTCTCCCCCTCGACAGGAAACACAATACATCCAGACCGAGATGTTTTTCTTTTAATCTCTCTGAGGAGGATCGTTATCTTTCGCACATTGGTGGGCAGGGTCGGGCAGGACCACACGCCCACCCTGGAAAGGCAGAGCCCTAGGAACCTCCAGCTGAATTCGGCAGGGAGGGGGATTTACTTGTGAAACTAGGGGGGACACACACAAATTGAGAAATGTTATCAATAACAGTAATAATAACCATCTGGCACAAGAGATGAGGGCAGACGGCACACAAAGCCCTCCAACAGTAGCCAGAAAGGGACTGGAAGGAGACCCCCTCCCTGCTCGGAGGGACGGGCGGCAGGGGCT